TACATGTTAACATAAATAATATTTTAGTGAAAACACTGCATTTTTTTCTTTTTTTATTTCGGTGACATTGGTTATTGGGATCATATAGGAATCGGTACATTGCACTGTGCACCCCCCACCCAAAGTCAAATCATCTTCCGTCACCAGAAATGTTGAATTTTATCTTTAATTCTGACATTTCTGTTAGACCCAGATGAGTCTGCACTCCCATGTGTCCATAATTCATACTAAGTACATCTTCATTTCGATGAAGGGTATCACCTCAGTATTTCCCTTGAAGTTTCTGTCCCACACTATTGGGAGGGCAGTTTATAGTGGCCCTTCACACTTTGTGGAGGGGCCTAGTTTTGAGTAATGACCCTAGAATCTGGTCTTTTCAAAATTCAATTCTGATGAAGCCATTCCTCCTGCAGTTATCAGACGCGGGCAAATCCAGCCCCTCTGTGCACATCCTATCCGATGAGCTCTGTATATGGCTGGAAGGACAATTCTGTCCCCCAACCTCCTAATAAATTCAACCTTAAGAACAATTTATCAAATGATTTTCATACAAAAGGTGTGTTTACAGAATATGTATCGAATGGATTGAAGTTTTCTTAAAAGATTGGGAGGAACCAGAACCCACATTTTGGGATTTCACACACTACCTTTCTATGTGTCTCCCCCCCCACACACACACACACTTGTCCTAGTGCATGCCTTCCCATCTCAAGTCTCTCTTCTTTCTGTCCTAGCAATCCAATAAGATTGAGGACAGTTGAGGTTCAGGCAAGTTCCACATAGTAAAAACCAGTCCACTAAGTCGTGAAATTTATAAAATGTGGTCAATTTCTCCTGGGCAATAAAAAGTGTTATGAACTATAAAAAAATATAGCAATAAGCATCTTTAATTTTTGATACGTCCGTATATTTGGCATGTTTATGGACATCTGTGAAATTGAAAAGATTTTAAAACATCTTTGCCAATATGTTGGCAAAATAGAACTTTACTATAAAAAATCAGGATCATAGAATAAAGTGAAAATTTCCCATAGGAATTGTTGCAGTTGTCATCATTGTATAGTCACAAGAAAAATATATACATTGACTATATTCCTAAAAGCACACCCCAAGACTAAAGACATACCTTCAGAAAATGGAACAAAATTATATTTAAAATGCTGCTACAAAGAACATATTCATTAAATATTCTTTAAAAAATATATTAATAATTATTGAATATATCCAAAATGAATGCTTTTAAAGACAATGTTAAGTAAACTGATCATTTGATAAGTTCAATATATGGACTTCAGGGAACTGATCCTTCAGGAATTGCCATTCAGTTCATTGGCTTCTGGTGACTAACTCCTCTGTAGTTTGGTGGCAGCCCCATGTTCAGGGGCAACTGGGATCAGCAGACGGCTGTGTCACCAGCACAGAGGAAAGCCCGCTGGACCAGGCCAGAAGCCCTTGGGTGGGTTTTCAATGAGACCCAGTGCCACTCTCAGAGCAGAGATCCTGGCCCTCACAGGAGCCTTCTCCCCTCACCCTTCACTGTTTTCCTTGGAGGGACTCATCTACTCCCATGACTTCAAGCATCATCCATGAATCACTCAAAGTCCTCTGGGCCCAACTAGCTCCTGTAGGCACAAAACCTTACTTGCACCATGAACTCAATTGTTAATAAACATGTTATTCTACCCTGTTACTTCCATGGAAATGTTGAGCCATTCAGGCCCGCCTCCTGTATTCCTGTTGCTAACCAGTAGAATGCCAGTGCTCATCCTGAAAAAGCAGTGAAAGAAATCTCAGCAAAAGAAGGAGGAAATCTTTTCCCTGCAGCTGCAGAAAAGCAGTTAGTTATCGGCATCATAAAACTGATCTGGCAAACAGTTTGTTTGTTTTTTCTAACAAAGGGGTTGTTACTGGACTTTAGAGATTGTAGCTTTGCCAATTGAACTTAACCTTTAACCCTGTAAAAGTCTATGATTCTGACTGGTTATCTCAGCAAATTTTTTTTGGGGGGGGGATATAATACCTAAATTAACACTTGTTTTTGAAAAGTGTAACCATTTGTCAGTTTTCTTTGCAAATCCAGAAATAAATTACTATGCTTTCCTCTTCACTTGTAATTCTAAAAGCTAAAACTTTTGACTCTTGAATTTTTAAATTTCAGCTTGACTGAGGTGTAAGGGGCTAATTGTAAGTTCCTTAAAGTGTACCTCACGATGATTGACCTATAGATGCACTGCCAAGGGATCGCCCCTCCCCACTCTCTAGTTAATTAATACATGCATCACCTCTCATACTTACCTTTTACTTTTTTGGCAAGAACATTTAAGTTCTACTCTCTTAGCAAATTATAATTATACAGTACAATATTATCCACTGTAGTCACCATGTTTTACATTAGAACCTCAAACCATTTTCATCTTATGGCTGAAAGTTTATACCCTTTTAGCTTCTCCTTATTTCTCCCATTCCTATCCCACCCCCAGACCTAGCAACCATTTGTTAGATTTCATATTTAAGGAAAAAAAACAAACCTTTTAAAAATGTAAGTTCTAATTTCCAAGGTTCAGATCAGTATTTCCAACTGCTTCATTTCTATCTCCCAGGTACCTTGAATCGAACAGATCCCAAACTAAATGGTCTTTCTTCCTTTGAATCCTGCTTGACCTCTGTGCTTTCTGTTTCGGCTAAAGTAATAAATAATCTCCTCCTAGCTGCCCCCACCAGAAACCTGAGTCATCCTAGCCTCCTCTCTCTTGGCCCCTTTTCATATTCAGAGTCACTCTCTTCTCATAATTTCCTTCTCCCTACCCTAGACCGCTGCAAAAGCCTCCAAACATGTGTAAGCCAGCTTCCTCGTTGCTGTGGTTATAATCCTAAAAAGCAGCCTACTTTAAAACTCTCATGGGTCCCAATTCCTTAGGTCTCCCTTCCTCTGCTTCTGCTAACTTGGAACACCATGCTTCAACCTCATGAAAGTGCTTACTGTTCCCCAAGCACACCCTGGAATGATCTTTAAACAGCTTCAATAATTTGTAGAGAATATCTCTTGTGCATGAATGCTCTTACCTCCTACCTTGAGATCATGTCACTTCCTTGATGAAGTGCCCCAAACCACCAAGAACTATCAATCTCTTTTACGCTCCTCTAGTCCATTTCTGACACCTTAATTGCAACACCACATTGTATTGTGTCTATTCACTTCTGCCTCCTGAAATAGACTGTAAGTCTCTTCAAGACAAAGAAGTTATTTATTCAACCTTTTTGTTGTTGTTTAATCCTCACCCAAGGATATTTTTCCATTGGTTTTTAGAAAGAATTGAAGGGAGGGGGAGAGATAAAGAGAGAGAAATGTCGATGTGAGAGAGACACTTCGACTGGTTGCCTCCCACATGAGCCCTAACGAGGGCCAGGGAATCGAACCTGCAACCGAGGTGCATGCCCTTGACCAGAATCGAACCTGGGACCCTTCAGTCCACATGACAATGCTCTAACCACAGAGCCAAACCGGCTAAGGCTTCAGGTGTCTTTGTAAGGAGCCCAACCTACTATATTGTATATGGTATATAATAGTGATCCAATAAATGGGAAATAAATAAAACTCAATTCGGTTTTATCTTCTTAAGAGCGATTGACTGCCTTACTGAGGACCAAATGAAATAATGTGTGAGAAGAGCTTTGAAGAGATGATACAGTGATCTGACTTCCCTTACTCGTTCTCAGTTGGCCAGGTGCAGTATTTGTGGTTCCCCATCCTATTCTTTGTGGTGCCGCAGCAGAACCTGCACAGAACTCAGCAGACCACAGAGTATGGAGGTAGAGGTTGGGGCTGAGCTTGAGTCCCAGCAGTACCATCATCTAACTGTGATCTTGTAGCAACGACAGCAGCTCCTTGAATCTGTTTCTCATCGAGAAAACAATGACATTAAACTTAAATCAGCTTTCTACTGTCTACAAAGTGCAGACTTTTGTAACTTCCCACTGAAAAACTAAGACTTCCCTAGCATATGCCCTCAGATGTCAATGACATCATCGCCTTTT